CCAATTAGTAGAAACACTAAATTGGGAGATAAAACCATGGCTTTAGTAAGGAGACCACGTCACCCGAGTGACAACTTAATTGTAAATAAAGACTGTATAGTACCTGGTTGCCATGACGGTGCGAATTTTTCCGTTACAAGAACGCCTGCTCAGCTGAATTTTAAAACTCGGCTAGCAAATCCGCAAAAGACTATGAAAATGGTTCAATGCAAAGATTAAACGATTAACAAACTGGAACATAGTCATTTGAACGATTAACAACGGTTAACAGCATTTCATAAAGAAAAACAGTCTATTTTTTTTATTCCGTACAGTTGTTTAACCGTTATAAACCGTTGTTAACCGTGGTTTGAACTCTCTGTTAGGTTCCCTTTATTAAGTTAACCGTCTACGACCAAGCCACTATGTTTCTGAGGGCAAAATAAGCTCTGCAAAACACCTAGCACATGACGAGAATTCATTCATTGTTGTTCCCGCGGGATCTGATACATGAAATGAAATATTTTCCACCTAACGTCCATCATACCGCATTCACGTTCATCCACGATTCCATTTTTGATGTACATAAGCCTATGTTTTCCCGTACAAAATATCGGGGTGTCACTAGTTAGTGAAATATCCTTTGCGAAGTGAGTTTTCGGCGCCGGTAAATGCACAATGTGACCTTCTAGCATAAGTAACAGATCATGCCACGGTATAACTTGTGGCGACCAACGAAAATCGTTCAAGAAAATACATTCGGCATTTTGAACCCCAACCCAAGCAAAGCTCCCGGAAGCAGGATTACAAAAAGTGTTAAAAATCAAAGTCAATGGATTACCCGGTAAGTAAGAAAGTTTTACCACAGTTCGCATTTCCAGTGATCATAATGTTCCGGTATTTACCCTCCCCATTATCAGCAGATCACACACTGCGTCGCGAAATACTTGTAGTGGGACCTGATTATTGGCTAGGATTTCTTGGGCACAAATCTTCCACAGCCCATCACATCCCTCCATGTATTCTTTTTCTGTTGCTTTTTGCAATAACTCTAGGCGAGTTTTCTTGGATCGTACCAGTTTCTCCGCAGCATTCTGGATTTCCCATGCAGTATTCAATATATCTGCGACTGCCCTTGGCGTGCAATTTATTAAGAATTCAACAAGATTTGTTTTTCCCTCTTTTTTTCTGTTGGTGAGCCAAAGCTTGCAGCTCTACAAGCGATTTCACGTTTTTCTCAACTATGATTTCTGTCACCTCGAATGTCGTGAGACGCTTTCTCTTTCTGGTGCTCGTACTCCTTCTAGACGTACGCGAGTAAGTATCTTCGTCGTCGTCCGGCTGTCCTGGTCATCCTCATTGCATGCCATGATTTTTGTTTGCAGCATTCCTTTTGCGTTTGTTATTCCGCTTAACACGACTTGCGGCACTTGTTTTAGGTTCACCGGCATTCTTAAGGTCCGGGTGGCCAGCACTCTCAATAAAGTTCTCATCCTCTTTCGTGAAGTATGTTCAAGCACAGTAGTAGTGTTTACTTAAGTAGTCCACGTTTATCCCGTACTCATTGCGTAAAAACTCCTTTGACGACAGCCAGCGTTGATTGCCATCTTGCTTCATGGCTTGAGTCGGGTTTTGATTGTGTTAGAATTTTCTCTTTTGATTTCAGCAAAGCTATTGATTCGGTCCCTCATGATATCCTCTGCTCTAAGTTGAAAACACTTGACATAAATCCATACGTGACCAATTGGATTATTAGTTTTTTAGAGAACAGAAAACAAAGAGTTGTTGTTGATGCCATTGTTACGGATTATTTAAATATCAATAGGGGTGTCCCTCAGGGGACAGTTTTAGGCCCTATACTATTTTCTATTATGGTCAACGATATTAAGGCCATTCTACCAAATCAGAATTTACTTGTGAAATATGCTGATGATTTAACATTAAGTATTCCAGTAAAATCGCGGGCTAACAACGGCAATTCAGCAGCTGAGGAGGTCCGANACTTTTCAATCTGATCCGTGTAACTGGGATTTACATTTTGATAATATTATATCGAAAGCCAGTAGTCGTCTGTACATCTTACGTGTTTGTAAATTCTATGGACTGCCGCTGGATCATCTTCATCTTCTTTTTATCAGTCTTATTCTACCTATATTTACATATGCTGTAGAAGTATGGGGCTGCGCGTATTATCATAAGTATCTGAGTCGCATAGACAGGCTGTTCAAGAGAGCTTTTAAGCTTGGTTGCTGTAAAGAGCCATTTTCGATTGAAAATATTATTACTCTAAAAGATAAGAAGTTGTGGGCCAAGATCACCGACAGCGATTTTACAACAGCTTTAGATGACCTTTTGCCACGAGAGCGTCCAATAGTTACGCTACGTAAGAGGCGCTATAATTATATTCTCCCGCTTGTCAGAACTGAGCGTTTCAAGAGGACTTTTGTTAATAGATGTTAGTTCTCTTATTAGTCAGTCAGTTAGTAATTTAGTTAATTAGTTTTATACTTGCTGAGTTCATATCATTGTAACTAACCACGTTTGTTGTTTAGAGTGCTTAATAAAGACTTTATTATTATTCATAGATAGATAGTAGTGTTTTCCGGATTTTTTGTAGCTTTCACAGCTACAACACCACTGTAAAATTTTCGCGTTGCATTTTCCAAATGACTTTACTACCGCGAAAGCAAATTCTTCTCGCGAGGGAAATAGGTCCAAATTAGCCTGACTGTACGTTATCAAATAAACGCTTCTGACTACTTTCTCACCTAACACTTCCTGAAATGATCCAGTCTTCTGAAGATGTTTCGTCGCCATCGTAAGATCGTAAAAGTTCCATTTACATCGGCGATTACCAGAAAATGTCGTTTCTCTAGGAAGTAAAGCGTTAAGGGGCGAACAAGTTGTTTTAAAATGCACCAATGGTAACGTGACAGCGAAAAACGCATTACACACCTCGTGTAATGTAAGAGACAACTTCATTTTTCAGCCCATATTTTTTTTAATCATTCCACACAGATGATTAGTATCCTATAACAATACGTTTCATGCATTTCACCTAAAAAAACGACAATGACTCGTAGTAATCGACATGAAAGTTAAAGAATGTAGAAAAACACCTCCAGACACCCTCGGAGAAAACCTGTTAAGACACAATACAAAAATACCTATTTTTTGCACTCACCCTGACAAAAATGCTTACCGTCGCAAATTCAAAGATTGTTTCCCCCTCCCCTATTGCAATTTTGTTTGCGGTAACACAAGAAATGCATGCTTGAGCTGTTAAGCCCCAACAACATTGTACCGGGGGTGGGGAGGGGGGCAAGTTTGTTCCTTTTGGAAACGATTGTTGCATGGCGGGAAATTAAAAATTGCATTGAAATGTCTCAACAGTTTTGTCCGGGGTTGTAGCTCTTAACTGGGGGAGAACCCATCTAAGTATTACATTAACATTATTAACAAAATGATATTCTACCATGAGTAAATGTTAAATGTAAAATGAGGCCAATATATTCAGAGGTGTGGTAACATAATCTTATCAACAAATGAAACGCACGAATGGTCTCCATCAGAAAAATTAATAAATAGATTTCATTTACTGGCTTCAAATAATTCGCCCCTTGGATAAGTAAATATAATCTATAAGTTAACTCATTTCATAAACGAGAACAAGCAAATTCAAAAGTAGAGTTTTGCCTCAAAATAAAAGCCTCTGTTATCGTTAAATGACACAGAAAAAATGATTGGTGAAAAAATGTGATCTGGAGAAAACACTGCGCGAAGAGGTCAATGAGCAGTTTTTGTCTTTTTCCGTTTTAAAAACATGTATTCTTTTTTTATTTGACGAAAGCGTTTAAGGTCCTGAACTCTAATCACACAAGCGCACATAATCACATCTGGAAAATGCAACTAGAATTTTCGATTGGATCATATTCGTAGAAAAAAAGCAGCTGGTGTATCAAAGTCTTTCATTTAATGATACAATTGTTCCACAAGACATCTACGTTAAAACAGATTCAACATTTAGTATACTATTCATTGCGTGCCACGGATGTCATTATACATGTCGTGACATCGCGTCACGACTATGTTCGCAATGTATTGTGGTTAGCTAAGCACGCCTTCAAGATGGCGTGGTAATGTTGTTGTTATTAATAAATGTTTTTTTTTCGGAAACGAGCCTTTATTCTGTCTCGAATGATTGAGCGAACCGCGAACTACGAGAACAACAGATTGTTAAAATTTGAATATTTTACAAATGCGACTTCTCTTTGAGAAGTTGTTTCCTTTCACGACTTGACATACTCAGTTACAACTTCAAGTAATCAACCTAGTTAACCAGGTTTGCTCATCCAAATAGCTCAAAACTGTGCTAACGAATTCTACTTTGCAAGCAAAAAGAGACTGAAACATATGCATATTTCCACTACCTAATTAACAAATTTGTAACACTCTCGCTTTTTAGAGGCGCCATATCTACAAACACTGATTAAAACACTACCTTATCTAGTTTTAGTCTACAATTTCAAAACACTAAAGGCAGCTGTTCACCAGAAAAACATTTTATTCTATTTCACTCGATTACAAGACCAAACCGTAGGCGAACCACACTCTCCGAGGAATGAAGAAAACTTAATACGAACAGAATACTAAACTATAACTAATATATACGAAAATGGTCGATCGCAAAGAGCACAAAAGGATCACGTAGTGTAAAGAATTCTAATGGGACTTTAAGCAGTCAGGACGGCAACGCCACGGAAGACGTCGATTAAAAAATGAGTTTATACTTTTAGTTAGAATTTCGAAAATGGCTGCATGTGTTTACCGTCTCATAGGGCGCCAGACCTCAAACTCAACATATCGCATAAAAGAAGCGTTGAGTTCCAAAAGTAAAGTAAAATAATTTGCCGCCGCGGTTTCGCTTCACAGACGACGCAAATTTTGGTGATTTCACGTTGTTCTTTTGCAAAGGACGGCTAAGAAATGTACAAAGTTTTAGAACGCACGTGCTGGGCTATTGTTCTGCCAATTAGATCTATTGTTTTTCCACGTTCTCGTTGCCGTAGCTGTCGTGGTTTGCTTAAATTCCCTAATGAACGCCATGAACCTACTGATTAACGCGATTGTCTCCTGTTCACACACTAATTAGCGCAATTGTCTCCTGCTCAGCAGCAATCATTGGAATCTCATAACAATGTTACTAATAATATCTATATTGTTATGTAGCTTTTAGAATAAAAAAAACGCCAGAAGACAACTCCTTTGGGAATTACAATAATATATTTCTCAAGTGTTTCGGTAATTATGGTAAGTAAGCCCTGGTTTATTGCTTAGGGTATTTTCAGTCGTTTTCTGGCCACATCTGTAGTCCGCTGGCTTTCACCGGAACTCTCCTGAAAACCCCTTGGCCAATTAACTATTTATTAGCATTAAACTGTCGGTTGAACCGTCATTGTTAACCAATTTGCATGGAACGTGTTGACTTATATCATATGTTCCTTTACAAGTATACTATGAGGTTTTAGCTAAAACAAATAATTCCTATAATGCTAGAAAAAGGGATAACACTGTTTGTGCCATGCAAAAAGTAAAAATGATAAAAAAAGTAATCAATTCAGTTTTGTTCATCAGCCTACATGATGATAAAAGCAACTGCACCAGGAGATGACTAAAACATTACAGTCCAGCCGGTATACTTGGAGTAGACATTGCGAATAAGGTGTCAATTCGCACAATCAGATCATTTAAGCTATCTCGTATCTGGGTTTCAGCATTGCGGCAGTTGTTCATGTGCTGTTGTAACACTCTGTCGAAGTGCCTCTGAACATGGACGGTCTTCTCGTCTTGCATGCAGATAAGGACATAATGGTTCTTCATTTCTTCGCCTACTTCTCGAATTCCCTTTTCCATCCTCTCTTTATGGTGATCGATTTCTTTCAATTGTGCATCATGTTGGGCCAACACTGTCTTCATCCTATCAGCCCGATTTCTCACTTCTTCAAAATGTGAATCGTGTTGGGCCACTTTCTCCTGCATCGACTCACAATGGTCACCCATCTCTTGCAACTGCGAATCGTAGTGGGCCATTTCCTTCTTCAGCTTCTCTGTACGGTGAATAATTTTTTCCAACTGGAATTCGTCTTCAGCCACTCTCTTCTTCAACATCTCTCCAAGATTATTCATATCTTGCAGTTGCAAGTCGTGCAGGGCAATTTTCCGCTCAATATTCTCTACCTGAATACCCATTTCTTTGGACGGCATATCTTGTTGGGCCATTTTTTTCTTCATCGTTTCTCCACGATTATCCACATCTCGCAATTGCGAGACGAGCTGGGCAACTTCTCTTTCAATCTTCTCTACCCGTTTACCCATTTCTTTGAAATGCAAATCTGGCCGGGCCATTTTCTTCTTCATCATCTCTCCACAATTATCCATCTCTTGCAATTGCGAGTCGTGCTGGGCAACTTTTCTCTCAATCTTCTCTACCCGTTTACTCATTTCTTGGGACTGAAAATCTTGTAGGGCCATTTTCTTCTTCGTCATCTCCCCACAAACTTCTACCTCTCGCAATTTCGAGGAAATTTGGGTCATTTTAGTCTCCTTCTCCCTTGTACTATTTTCCATTTCTATCAATTGTGTATCATGTTGGGCCATTTTCCTCTCTGTAATCTCTCCATGGTTTTTCATTTCCTTCATGAGCATGCCGTGCTGGGCCATCTTCTTATCAATTTGCTCTTCGCGATTTTTCGATGCTTTCAGTTGTGAATCGATTTGAGCTATCACCCTCTCCATATTCTTTTCATGATTATCGCATTCCATCAAATGCAAATCACACTGGGCGATCTTCTTTTCCATCTTCTCTGTGAGGGTATTTATTTCATTCAGTTGTGAGTCGCGTTGGACTATTTCTTGGATCATTTTCTCTGCACAGTTACACGTTTCTTTTGAATGAAATTGCATTCTCTCCAGGTCAGCTACCCTTCTTTCGAGCTTCTGGATATACACATACATACCTTCAGGAGAAACATCAGAAGCGTTGGCGACCGGGCCATCGCTTGAATTGGAGACTATCGTATCATAAGGAGGGCGTTTAATCTGGGCGTTGTTGTTTTTCTCTGCCCCTTTTGTTAACAGAGACAAAATGGTAACCAAAGCTTTCCATAACCCGCTGAAGACACGGATATGCCATGATTCGTTGTTAACGCCCTGTGAGAGTAAAAAAAATATCAGATCTTACCTTTTCACAAACTCATACAACCAGATTGAGAAAAAACAAACAAACAAACAAATCCTCCTGCTTACTACCAACTTAAATGTCTCACGTTTCAGGAGTAAAGCCGGATCACGTCTTAAAAATTGCGTCCAAAATGAAATACTGCAGATGAAAATTTCTTGCTTAGTTTTCTTCTTTTTTTTTTTTTATTTTTTTAGAGCTGAAGCAAACGTAGATATCAGAATTCTAAACCCTTCTGACAAAATGGAACAAAGACGTAGTACAAAAATATTCAAAGTACTTAGTAAAAACAACGAAAATAAATCTTGTGCAATGTCGGACCTGGTTCTTTTCGTAATGAACCTACCCAGCCCCGAATCACAGCTCATTGTGTAGAGAAAACAGACAGACAGCATGATCATATCATTTAAACAAGGAACACACGTACCAGGAAAACTGAAGGATGTCGCTAACACTGATAAGAATGTTTACCTCATTAAATACAATAGATCCGCCCTGTTGATTGCAATCCCCTTCATCGTCCTCACACTCCTAGGAAAAGGGAGTAACATTTCACCCGTAAGCATGTTTATCGTAAAAAAAATGACTCCAAAGGAACTTGACATGGGTTAAAATGCAACATAACAAAGCGTAGAGCTTTATATTCTATGACCATGATTAAAACTTTTGATGTACAGGACAGTTAAATATGTAATAACAATTCGTCATAAGTTGCACACCTCTTCATTATTAAAACCAGGAGAAGGAATGTCTTTGTCTTTATGGGCACGGCTTTTCTCTTCGGCCTATTAAAAAAAGAAACAGGTTGATGTTTCACGAAAACCACACAATCCAAACTGAAAACCAGCTAATAAAAGCAGTTTGGTCGCAAGCTTTGTCGTGATTTTCTGTTCAAAACCAACGTTACATAAAAAAGAAACCACTTAACATACCTCGTACTAACATAACAATGAAATAAGACATGGTTTGAGGAAGTGTCTTATTTAAAGGAAAATAACTGTAATAAGTACTGATCCTTGGAACAAGAACCTTCATTAAAGCCCCAAAAAAATAAAAGTTACGATGAGAAATCCTATTTTCTTTATATTAGCCGAGCAACACTGTTTCTGCCAAATGCCTTACCTCACTGCGTGGTTCAGGTGAGCTGTCGAGTTGAGTACGGTCCATATCATCCTCCCGAGTTTCGTCTGTCAATTCACATCCCTCATCCTTTTCTTTTTGTGGACCAATTTTCAAGTCTTTAGGACGAGACTTTTCTGGCTCCTTAAATCAAGGAAAATGACGATTAAAGAAACAAACCTATTTGGACAATGGTTGCGACAAAGTTCTGCATAAACCGTAAAAATGTTTTTTCTCCACGATGGTTGTTCAGTCTCGCTTGGCTGGCAAATCCATATCAATCGGATAAGTCGGACCGGTATCCGAACCGATCCGATTTCTAATTGAAAGGGGTCAGATGGTGACTGATACTCATAAAAAAAATGTTTCAAAGTCTGCTTGGAAGCTTATCATTACGCAACTAAAAATGTTTCGGTGGAGCCTCTCTCTCTTTAATATGCATTATCTCTGTTTTCTCTACCATCTGCTCGCCCAAAAATAAATCAGTTTATGGAGGATCTTGCCGTAGCTACAGCCCTAAAACAATGGGTTATTTTAGAAAGCATTTCGTTGAGTTCTAAAACAAAAATGAAGATGTTATTCACCGGCCTAGGTCGGTCTGTGTTGGGAAAAACTTTGCCCTCTGTCTTGAGTACCGCCCGAGGCCGTAGACCTCAGGCACAGTTTTTCCAATACGGACCGACCTTGGCTGGTAAGTAACACATACGTACATTGTAATAGGTTATTCTAAGTGTGAACTAGGAGCAGTATTAGGACATTTTAAACTAGAGTGGGACAATTAGATCTGGAGAGACTTGTGAGTGAAGTATGTGGAGCGGACTGCCTTTTATGCACATCGCAGCTTTACAATGTAATATTTGCAATTTTAATTTTGTCTATCCCTCAGTCTGTATTTTCACTCAACCTTTATATCATTTTACCTCTAATGTGAGTAAGTAATTAGTATTTTAGTGTCCCCAAATGCAATTAGCAGTCATGTTAAAGTATTCAGAACACTTGAATAAAATTATTTACTATCTTATCTTATTTTCCACCGTTGGCAGAGTGCACAAAAAGAATCTCATATCAATTTCAGTCGCAATAACCGTTCACATGTGTCGTTGTATAGGGCGCCGAATATACGTGACTTCAGCGCCTCGCGTTCGATTTTTTTACGCATATACAATAGGCGGTTTCATGTTGACGTCATTGTTTAAATGTTTGCTCATTTGCATACGGCTTTGCGTAAAGAAGGAAGCATGTTAGATACAAATTGACTTCAGGCAGCTAAAGAGCTAGAAAACCTTAGTACATGGTGAAATTGTTAACTCTTTGGGTGTAATATTCAAGGAGAAATAGTCCATCAAAACCTGCAAAATTTCTGGGTGGCAAAAGCGCTAATGAGCTCATACATTCTATGTAAAATTTTGAGTTTTTAAACCCGTGTTGCACAAAAAGTATTCAATGCATCAGGCTCGTATTGATTGGCCGAGTTAATCGTACTTTGACCTTTCGATATTCACAACTGATTTATTTTAAGCTCCATCAGAAACTGAATTGCTTATGCTAATGAGGCAAATATTGTAAACAAGGATTCCCCTATTGTCTTTTGTTGGCAAAGACGGCAGTGGTAAGCACCATAATAAAGCTGAACAGCTCATTAAGGTCATCCATTTTCGACGATGACTTCTAATATAAAGTAGAGCCCTCTACAAAATAGCGACTGACATTAAGAAAATGATCCCTAAGCAAACAATGGTCTTAGGGTTCGTCAATGTCGATGCGCTTCCCGTTAGCGTCGAAAAAAACACGAACGCTTGCATAGGTGGAGATAGAGAATATCCCTCAACTGTAAAGATGACTGTCTTTCTCGGACGCCATTTTGTTAAAGGGTCTTCAACGAGACATAATAGAGAGCACTTCAATTAAGATAAAAGTTATAGCTTCACTGCATATATGGTGTACCTCTTCGCTTTCGTTGGTAGGAGTTAGCATGTTGTTGCTGTCTTCATTGGCTGGGGTTTTCCCTTCACCCTTTTTAAGACAAGAAGGAATAAACGTTTCACAAAAACACGCATTGCAAAATAAATAAGTTACATTAATCTCCACGTTGTTATTTACGTTGATGTATCTCTTTCTTCGGATATCTCTCGCATAGAGCACCCACATTCCCTCGCCACTCCTCCTCATCTTGGGCTTTGTGTTTCACTACACTCCATTACGACATTTAGCTGACCTCTCCCATTTTTGTCATTCGCTCTGACAAAGGGCTAACGCTCGAAACGTCAGCTTTTTTACTCGTTACGGTGGCCAATTTACAATTTCAACGTAGTTGATATAACCACATTACCTTGTTACCCTCACCGACACAGCACCACAGTTTCTTTAGAAACGTTCAGCCTTTATTCCTTTTGTCATAGCCACCCGATATTTTTCTCCTTGCAAGTTTGATGAAATACTTCGTCCGAAAAACAATAGCACATTTTAAAGACTCACTTTTGGCTGATGATGAAAGAATTATAGTGCGGAGGGGTTTCCCAAATTATTTGATTGACCTTAGTGAGAACAACCCTCAGTATATGAATCTTCCTTTAAGCCCAAATGATAAAAATAAAAAAATAGTTTTTCTGGATCACTTATATGTATCTATGACCTTAGAGGAGGGGTTACCTTATTGAAGATCTTTTTAGTGCCCTTAAGACCAGTACAGTCCTCTTTTTTCCCCAAAGGTTCTTCTGTCAATGTGCATGGCTCATTGCCCTCATCACGTCTATAACATTGCATCTGCTTTGGAAGAGAAGTCCCCAAGTCCTGAAATTAAGGTGTATCATAAATTAAACATCAGGTCTCGTTCTTAAATTCATTCATTTGATTTCATACCAACTCAGTTCTTAAATCTAGATGTTGCAAATCACTTGAATATACGGGCTGTCTAAAGCATGGTTTATAAATCTGGTCAGCGAACCGGGTAGCTTGACTGGGTGCATCAGCATAGCGGAGTTAGGTGGATCGCTTACGTCTGTTGGACAAATCAGATCGACCAGGTCAACTGTTCGGTCAGTTTAACTTTTTTGTTCACAAGGCTGGATTTGCTAGAATTTGGTTCAGAATAATTGGGAGGGTGGCAAAGGGTTTTTGCGTGATGCGTGATGGCCCCAAATTTGCAGCGTGACATGTGATTGAACCCGAAATTATCCGCGTGACGGGGAACCGGACATTACAACCGGATGCGTGATTTGCTATTTTACTAGCGGGTGACGCGTGATTTACACGTTATACTAATTAGAGTTTCATGATAAGTAAACGCTCTTTGACCTAGAGAGTAGTCTGAATGTCAGCCGTCCTCTTCCCCCAACCTACGGGGGTTATCGCGATATGAAGCTCGAGTAAACGCTCTCAGAGTGTCTAGTTTCAACAAGTAAGTCGTCTCTATTTGTCTAACAAAAAGCGATGTGACAAGTGAAACGCAATTCATTCCAGAACAAAACATGTTAGACGCAATATAATTTTAGATGATACATCCGATGGGTTGTACAGGATTAGCTTAGCGTACTTACTCCTTATTTTGTGACGCGTGATTAGTTAAAAAAATTCTCTGAGATGCGTGATTTAATAGAAAAACTGAGCGAGATATGTGATTGGAACCTCTTTTCGCCCCCTCTTCGTCACACTCAATCGGTTGGATGGGTTAGCAAGGTTGATGAAGCTTGCGACATTTGTAAGGATGAGGCCTATCAGGTTCTGAGATTGGAGAGATGATGTTGGGGCTGGTGAAGTTGTGGGGCCGATGATATAAGTTGAATTGGTGAGGGATTAGAGAGGTTCCCGAGGTTCGTAAGTCTATTGAGGTTGGTGGGGTTACTGAGATTGGGGCTAGTAAATTTGACGAGGTCGACGACGTAAGTTAGATTGATGAGGGTAGTGAGGTTGATGAGTTTGGTGAGTTAAGTTAGGTTTGGTTGGGTTTGTAAGGTTGGCCAGGTTGGTAAGGTCACTGATATTGGTAAGGTTGGTAAGTTTGGTGAGGACGTGGTTTGGTGATATTCATGACGTTGCTGTGGTTGTTGAGGTTGGAGGTTGGCATGATTAATGTCTATGTGAATTTAGTGATGATGATTTTGGTGAGGTTGGTGATGTTCATGATGTTGGTAAAATTGGTGACGTTGGTAAGATTGATAAGGTTGGTGAGGCTAAGTTTGGTGAGGTTGGTGATCATGCGAGGTTGATGAGGTTGGGGGAGGATAGCTAGGTTAGTGTGGATGTGAAGTTGGTGATGATGATTTTTGTGATCTTGATGATTATAGTAAGATTGGCAAGGTAAGGTAGGTTGGTAAGGTAGATGGGGCTACTGCTTGGGATGGTGAGGTTAGTAGATGTGATGAGGTTGGTGTGGTTAGTAAGTTTGGTGAGGTTGGTGCAGTCGGTGTTGTTGGAACAGTTGCATGGTGAGGTTGGTGACATTCATGGTGTTGGAGCAGTTGTTGAGGTTGGTGTGGTTAGTGATGATGATTTGGTGAGGTTCATGATGTTAGTAATATTGACCTGGCCCCAGTTGCTCAAAGGCTGGATAACGCTATCCACTGTACAAATCTCTATCCGGTGGATAGTGCAGTACCTTTTGCTATCGCTGATCCGCTAGATAGAAATTTATCCATTGGATAGCGTTATCTGCCCTTTATACAACTGGGCCCAGCTGGTTGGTGGAGTTACTGAGGTTGGTAAGGTTGATAAGTTTAATGGAGAGGTTGGGATGAGGCTGGTGAGGTCAGTTGTATTGGTTAGGTTGATGGGTGTTGAATATGCCTTTGCATATGTATTAAGTTAGCATGCCTACTATGGTTGTTCCCTGGATGGAACGTTCTGCGTTCATACTTCAATTATGTGCAGTTCACACTTAAATAGAATTATTTCTAGTGTGTGTGAGTGCAAAATAAAAAACCGTCAAGTCGCTGAATAATCTTTGCTCTCCAAAAAAAAGGAGCGCTTGCCTTGTCTGAATGCTTTTTTATGTTTGAAGCAAGAAAAGCCCCCAAATGAGGAAACAGTATGAATGGTGAGTCTCTTGAAGTTGATTGGAAAGGAGGTTCAGGTGGGGTTAGGTGACACATCTAATTGCCTGACTAGTGCAACTGGGGAAACAGTTAACCATCAACTCAATTACACCCACATCAATTCCTGTCTTAGTTAGTCTGATAACCTCATTGCCTAGTCTGTCAAGGTTCAAGAGGTTAGTGAGATGATTTGGTAAGTTCAGAAAGAGGTTGGGGAGGTTGTTCTGAGGTAGAATGGGATAGTATGAAGGTAATTGCATGGTTAAACTTAGGAGGCTGGTCAGGTAGTAAATTCATGAAGAGGTTTTGTTGGCTGCAATTATTAAGCCACATAAGAGAAAACTGGACAAACATGCTGGTAGATATATAGGGAAAGGGAACAGATTTTACTAGAAACACATCACTCAATCTTATATTACTCCTCTCCTTTCATCTAGGTAAATTATTAGAGCTAGCCGATTACTTTTAGAAAATAGCTAATACTTACTTTCTCTCCATTGAGGGTTTCTGCTCCAGGAAGGTGTGAAGTCATATCTACACCTGAATGAGTACAATTTACCTCTGTAAAGTAACAAAATTAAGTCATGTTAAAAACTTGAACACATCTATATCTTCTTCAGGTAAGGTTAGTGCTATTGAACAAAATAATAATTATTTCCAAAACTCAAAGTACTTTTTGGAAACTTCATGTAAGATCAAGGTTATCAAAACCTCATCTCTAACTCAGACCAGGGCTGTTAGTCGGAAATATCATAACCCCCCTCTCCCCCTCCTTCACACTGTGACATGATGCATTTATGCTCCATAGGAAAGGATCATTAATGTAGGGAGAGTGATTTCTTTTTAAGCTATAATTACTCTAGATTAAATTTATCACATCTGAACATTCACAACAGGGCGCACTGTAAAGACAGATCATCATGTTGGCCAGAGTCAGAGTCAGAGTCAGGCCATCCTTTAGAAGAGACCTGAGTGGGAAAGATCAACAACTGAAGCTTAAAACAGTAGGTGTGATTAAATTTGGCAACATAACTTGCATGAATGATACAGAATTTTCTATATCAGCAATTTTATTGCACAATTTTCCAGAATAATTTAGGAAAGTGTCCATACAAGTCTAACGTCTTCCTTATAATTTGAGTAGTGAGTAAGTAAGTGAGTAGGTAAGTAATTTATTTGAACACATAGACCCCTAAGTGTTAACAAAAACTTGATCGAACATGCCCATGTATAAAAGAAATAAATATAGAAATAAAGAAAGAAAAAAAAGTAAAAAATAAGAAATAATAACAATAAAAAGAACTGAAGTGAAACATCTGTCACATTAAGATGTAATACTCATGCTGGATAAAAACTAGTAAAAATGTTCTAAGTTAAAATTTTCAAGGGCCTTTTTAAAAGTTTTAAGATTTTTGGATTTTCTAGAGTTGAGTGGAAGCTTATTCCTTAGTTTGCAAGCAATGAAAGAAAAGGGCTTATGCTTCCACTCAGTGTTAAAATGAGGTTGTACCAAGTTGCTTCCCTTATCCCTTAAAATTTTAACATAATTATCCCTTATATTCAGAAATTCAGCAATGTACTTTGGACCTATAGAGTACAGACATTTATTTTGTCCTAAATAGAGTTCTCAAGGTATAATAGTTAGCATCTTCAAGTCTGTCACTCTGCACCTTACCAAGACAAACTAAAACTATATTACAGTATTCTAGATGTGGAACTATAAACACTTTGGTTACAATGAAATGTATGAAGTTCATATATTTTGAACTGCAGTATTAGATACGTATGATGCACGATCCTCGCAGTAGATAGCACTATTTAAGCAATAGCGAAAATCAGACCTGAAAAAAAATCAGGCCTGTACGGGATTCGAACCACTGACCTCTGCGAGGCCATTAAGTTGATTTGAACCACTGACCTCTGCGAGGTCAGTGCTTCGAATCCCATACAGGCCTGATTTTTTTCAGGTCTGATTTTCGCTATTGCTTAAATAGCGCTATCTACTGCGAGGATCGTGCATCATACGTATATAAACACTTTATGTAGGAGAATCACAGTGTTCACTGGAATAAAGCAAGATATTCATTTAAGAGCTGATGTCTTAGAATAAATTCTCTGTAACTATATGCCAAAATATGATCCTTGTAACCTTGCAATGAGTACAACGCAATTTTGGACTACACACTTTCATGGGTCACCATGGTTTTTTCAAACATGTCATTTTGATTTGTGATCAGTTTCTTCACTGATTCTACAAATAACAGTCAATGAAATTTTTGGGAATAAAACCTGACTTTTTAAAGGTTAGAAAATTCATGTCTATCAGTAGACTGTATACAGTGTTACATCAAAATATAATAAACAGTTGTCTCGAGAATTAGACACTGCTAATTATCATAAAATTACCATTTAAAAGAACATTTGAATGAACACAAATCACAACCTTCATATTGTTCAAAGGGATGCTAAATTTTGTGCCACCACTATTTTTACATGTTAAAGTAACAAATTTTTTAGGAAATATTCTTAAATAGGGTTGGAGGCAGTTTGAAGTGCCTTAATTTTGATATAATATCTAAAATTTTCCAAACAAAACTTCTTTTCAAGAGTGCGACACTCCCTTGAAATGACATTGTTTTCTTCACTCAACTTTCTCCAAAGTTGTTAAAGCTGTGTCACATCTTTTGGTCCATCCAACAACAATAGTAAGTGAAATGAGACAGTTGAAAACCGATCATTTTTTATATATAGAACAATAATAACAGATAATAACACAGGTGATAATCTATGATACTGGATCTCTGACTTACTTAAAGATCGTAGAACACACTGAAATTTAGGTTTTCAAAACATTGTTCAGCAGCCTATACATTCACTTATTCTAGTACAGGTAATCTGTGTTGTTTTAAAATTAGGATGATTATATGAGGAAAACAGTTTTTTGTTGGAAATGAAATCAACTATGTACATCATTTTCATGATTGAGTTTCCTTAATAATGTTTGGCCTAATATCATACTTACATTGAATTGATTAAACCAAACAGAATGAAACAACATATCAAAGCACAGCTAGTCCAATACCTCAATCAATCCACTATCTGCTAGTTAAGGGGATTTACAACCGAACAGATCTTGCCAAATTTGAAATCATTTTTTTTTTTTATTAGATAAAAGTATTTGATCTATAGTTGAGTTACATTCATTCAGCTTATAATCGTGGAAAACCAATACAACTTCAAAAAAAATACAATACTGTACTGTTTTATCAGACACATTTGCCTGTTACTTTGATGTTCTTGCCTATGTTATAATACGTGATGTATCCACTAGCAGAATAAAGTTTTCAATCAATTGGCTAAATAATCACGACAAAACTTTAAACTAAGTTATTTATTGCACTGCTTCCATAGTTATATGACCAAAATATCAATAATTTCATGTCAGTTAAGTGTGGCAGAAAAATTGCCTTAGAAACTACACAGTCTCAATCATGCTTGCTGAGTTTTTCCTGCTTTCGATGTTCATTGCAGAAGTAGGTGAATGTTCGTCCCTGAATGGCTTCGTTAATTTATCATAGAAATAAGAAATCAAAGAGTGATCAGGGGAACCAGGTGGAATAATCAACAACCAAGCAAAAAAGATTAAGAAACTTCTGTTTGATTCAATGAATAACTGATGTTTCTAATGGCTATTGCGAGTGAGGAATTAAGTCACTCTGTGCCTTTTATTTCCGTGCCTGTCGAAGTCTTATTATGGTTTCGTGAACAAAATAAATTTTCCTTGAAAATTCAAGCTTCCCTGTTTTTTACAGTGTTGCGCAATGTTTTGCATAGTTCTGGTTTCCCGCGAATGCAAAAAACGTGACTTCCCTGTTCACACGTCAACACATCACGCAAACAAACACTTACGAGTGGGAGGTTAGAGTAATTAACTTACATGACAGCTTATATCGCTCCTACCCACACTATCGATGAACGCTACTTCTCGATATCAGTGATAAATTTCGTTACGTTCACAATGACAAATATAGTTTTTAAGTAATGATATCTGTGTTTCATCGAAATCCTAGTACACCGAAGTGCTGTTACAAGGACCAGTTGATTACCTTCAAATTACGCGGGAGAAGCTTCTTTGGACAATAATCCTGAAAATATGTCGACTTTGTAGCCTCTGAGGAGAGATACAGGAAAAGCTTTGGTGATCAAACGTGAACTTAATGTCATCAATCCCTGCGGTCAAGGTCCACTTCAAATATCAAGCGTTCGTACCCTATCCCATAATGCAATGTGAGTCTACAGTCGATAATCAGGCATAATGAACAAATTTTGCAACTCATTTTTTTTTTTTTTCGCAAATTATTTTTTTTCCTCTGAGTTGCATTTTTTAGTTGCGGTCAGTCTACCCGAATAAATGCTGTACCATACACACAAAAGTTTGCTTTTTATTCTCTCAGTCAGTCGAAAGTTTTCTGGAAGGATTAACTTTGGGAGTAGAGCGCGGAATCGGAAGGAGTGTAATTTTCTTCCACACTCTTCCAGTCACCCAGACACTTTAATTTCAGATGAAGTGGATGTCGCCTATCTTTTCTATTTTAATGACGTCTTTGCGGCTGCAAATGGTAAATACTTATCAATTGCGAATATTAAAACTCCTATTCAGTTCGTGCCGTTCGTACCGCTTCCTTGGTTTCGTGTTTACCGCCTCCCTAGATCCCTGCCTCCCAGGGAGGCTTGTTAACCTAAGTGACTCATTTAAACTGAACGGGAGAGGGCCTTTGGTAGGATCAACAACATCGGGTTAGTTTCGTTGTAGAAGTGAGACAAGGTTCGCACCTAATCGCTCTCTAGTGACTCTAGTTGAGGGTGAGTGATGATGACACCGACTCCATCACAATTAGAGGTGGATCTAAGGGAAGGGCGCCGGGCCCGGGGGCCCGCCCATCCCTTATGTTGGGTAAAGGTCTGGATCCGTTACTGGTCTAATACGTGAATGAACTATTTAAACTGGCGCTAATTTGCCCGTCCCAAGCGTCCGACCAGCAAACTGGTCCGATAGTCAGAGCAATTAAAGTGAAAAACCTTCGAACAGGTCACCTCATGCTTACCACTGTTTAATCGTTTGTTAGGTGTGGCGTAGAAAGAGTGTTGTTAGGAAACGATGTAAATTCACGAGTCACCAGGCTCTGACTGCTCCTATAAAGTTCTTCAAATTTCGTTTTCAATTTTTTTCCTATTCTTAAATCAAACATTTTTTATCCTTTAAGAAGTGAAATAATGGTGCAATTGATGCACTCTACAGGTAGCCTTAAATATCATTTGATCGCATAACCCAAAGAGTCGCTTTGCATCACATTACACATACCCTTCCAGCTAGCTCATGGGCTCTGGCAATTCCTATTTTCCCTTATCCTGACTTTCTTTGCCCACGAACCAACACGTTGATGTCTCTCGGATGATGATGGTACTTTCCACAAGGTTTAAAAAAATCAGGGCCCCGCCCCACCCTACGTTCACAGCTATCCTAGAGCATCATTTTCGATAAACTGTTCACTTCTCAGAACACAAAATGTCCGCGGACAATTATACATAATTTCGCGCCAAATGAAGGCTATTGTTTAAAAATATTTCTTCTTCTGAATTTCCTAGTGCACCATATATCTCAAAAATATCATTGGGATAGAATTATGAGTAAAAAAAATCCTGAAAACAAACAAGTTGCCATTTATAAAGTAAAACGTTAAGCACTTCAGTGAGGTGTACATGTTTTTCTTACATTTAAGTTTACACATTAAGAAGAATTACAAATCCTTACTACCACTAATTTACTACTCACCTAAATCTATACATCTTATCGAAGGAAACTAGTCGCAGAAGTTTATATCGTATAAAAACTACATCTAAAAAAAGGAGAAAGATAGTTTTCGTCAGCTGATTACTAATAATACCGCGTACAATGTTCACAGTCCACAATGTTATCATGAGGTTGCAAAACACCGACAGTATTTAACAATTATTCCACTCGTTGGAATACGCGCCTCGTTGGCTATCTATCATCTCATATCCAACAAGCGCGAGTGGAATAATTTTTTTATTAAAAAAAATATCTGAAAAAACGCCCCCAAGATATTAGACAAATCTTCTCGACTTTATTTTGTAAGGAGAAACCAGATGTTACAATGTACAGATATTAGAATATGNTTACACATACCCTTCCAGCTAGCTCATGGGCTCTGGCAATTCCTATTTTCCCTTATCCTGACTTTCTTTGCCCACGAACCAACACGTTGATGTCTCTCGGATGATGATGGTACTTTCCACAAGGTTTAAAAAAATCAGGGCCCCGCCCCACCCTACGTTCACAGCTATCCTAGAGCATCATTTTCGATAAACTGTTCACTTCTCAGAACACAAAATGTCCGCGGACAATTATACATAATTTCGCGCCAAATGAAGGCTATTGTTTAAAAATATTTCTTCTTCTGAATTTCCTAGTGCACCATATATCTCAAAAATATCATTGGGATAGAATTATGAGTAAAAAAAATCCTGAAAACAAACAAGTTGCCATTTATAAAGTAAAACGTTAAGCACTTCAGTGAGGTGTACATGTTTTTCTTACATTTAAGTTTACACATTAAGAAGAATTACAAATCCTTACTACCACTAATTTACTACTCACCTAAATCTATACATCTTATCGAAGGAAACTAGTCGCAGAAGTTTATATCGTATAAAAACTACATCTAAAAAAAGGAGAAAGATAGTTTTCGTCAGCTGATTACTAATAATACCGCGTACAATGTTCACAGTCCACAATGTTATCATGAGGTTGCAAAACACCGACAGTATTTAACAATTATTCCACTCGTTGGAATACGCGCCTCGTTGGCTATCTATCATCTCATATCCAACAAGCGCGAGTGGAATAATTTTTTTATTAAAAAAAATATCTGAAAAAACGCCCCCAAGATATTAGACAAATCTTCTCGACTTTATTTTGTAAGGAGAAACCAGATGTTACAATGTACAGATATTAGAATATGGTATATCGGCTCATATACCATAATGGCTAAGCCAATAAAAAGTCTTGAATTGCATTACCCAATGATCCAGTTTTTAATGAAAGCTATTATGCTATATGTCGGTTTTTTGTAACCTCATTATCTACTTCAGTATATTTACGCTAAGCTAAGATATGGAAAACCTAATTCCTTACATATCACGGGTTGTGCTGATTGTTGTTACACCTTACAGAAAACAAATTTATATCTAAAATATGAAAGTAAACTTAAACAAGTACACAAATTCTTAACAATGATAATAACACTTGAATTAATTGATCGGATTATCTTATAGTTCGAGTAGCTTACACTTAAAATACTTGTGCAACTTAAGGCAAACTGATTACTGTTATGGTATACAATCGGCTCGACCATTTAAAGGCTACTCTTGCAAAATGCATACATACTCAAAGAAACAGAAAAAACACTTTACTATGCAAATGCTTAAAGCACCTACATTCAATCAATTTTCTATACCCCGCACTTGTATAGCACTTTAGTAAGTTCATGAGTACAAATTCAGCATTCCATTTAAAAAAAATTATCTGTGCGTCCCGCTTATCGGATGTTTGAGTCTAACACTTACACTAGTGCTGTTCGAGATCGTCTCACCACTGGGACATAGTTACACATGACAATTCAAAAACTGGTATAAAAATCTACAGATACACTGTTCAAAATGGGAGTAAAAAAATTATTTGAGAAATATTCTACATAACTACACACAATTTCAATGGGAAAAATAAAAATTTCTAAAAGCTGTGAACATTGTGCACCAAATTTTTACTTAATACATACACTAATCTGTATAATCGAGAGATTTAGCATGGAGTTTACGTTAACTGGCAAACGTCAGCTTGTCCTTTCACGTTTCACGTAAAATAACGTGAACCTTGCTGCTTTGGCTTCGCGTGAGCTTACATCAAGATGGATTTGAAGGCGCCCTTGTATGACCTATGATGGAATGGTTTTGGTGGTCTTTTTCCTGCATTTAACTTCCGCTCTGTGAGAAGAAGAGTGATGGAAATCTTACGTACATGACAAAAGCGAAACATGTTACTTTCACGTAGAAACGGCAAAGCGCAACCGGCAAAAGTGAAGAAATGGCGGGAAAAACAAGGTCACTGTTGCCGTTCACGTTTCACGTAAACGTGGTGCTAAATCTCTCTAATATTATCTCTATTTGTATGAGTACCTCTATACTAGCTACGCAACATTTTCATGTGGTATACCATGGAATATCCCTCAACAAATCTTTTAGCTTTTTGGGTATAAACACACGCCGTAAGACGAGAGTTTATATCAAGAAAATCCCACGGACAAGGATATTCCATGGCATAGTATACCACAGGCGATATAGAACTACTTCATACCATACCAAAGAAAATTTTCTCCTAAATGTCTTTTATCTTGACAACTTTTAAAACTCTTTTCACTCCTATAAATATACTATGCCATGGAGGATTTTTAGTTTTTAATTTCTATGTAAATACGTTCCACCTGAAGAAGGCCGAAGGCTGAAACGTCGCCACATTAAAGCTGGAACAGTTAGAAGTTTGCTTCATGTTTCATCGTTTTACACTTACTTAACATTTTCATTGAAGCACTGTATCCTACGCGGATCCTTCTACTGGGAGCTCATCATTTGGTTTACCTTTTTATTCTGTTTAAATATATATATATATATATATATATATTTTTTCTTTTTTTTTAGAATTTTTTAGTATTTTTTGCCATGAATCTATTTATAGGAGTGAAAAGAGTTTTAAAAGTTGTC